ATTTTCAACAGCCTCATTTGCATGTGAAAGTTGAACAAGGAAGACCATAGAAGAATTGGTGCATTTGAGTTATGGTGTTGGAGAAGAATACTGAAAGTTCCATGGACTGCCAGAGAACAAATAAATCTATGTTGAAAGAAGTACATCCTTGCTCCTTGGACGCCAGGATGGTGGAACATCATCTCTCATACCTTGGATATGTTATCTCCAGTCCCTGGAGAAAGACATCATGCTTGGTAAAGTGGAGGGTCAGTGAAAATGAGGAAAATGCCCAATGAGATGGACAGACACCATGGTAGTAGCAATAGGCTCAACTGTAACAGCCATTGTGAGGAAGGTCCAGGACTAGGCCTACTTGATGGCACTTTACAACAACCCCATCAATGAACCAGTTTATTCAGTCACAGCTATTATTAACAATTGTACTTTACATGTAGACTACTGCTTGTGGTTTCTTTCTAAGGTTTTAAAATGAAATGTCTTCCCTGCTTTATGTAGTTAAAGGATTGGTCAAAATGCTAATACTAACAATTTTTTTTTTTTTCTGGTCAGTTGTGAATATTTACTCCACAAAACTGGATTAAGAACCAGTCTTCAATGTGTGCATTTATTAAGATGCCATTAGCAGTTACTTCCCAAGAATTTACGGAAGAATTAAATGCTCTAATGAACGCTACAGATCTGAATGCTACCAACCAGGAAGACAAATTACTACCGAGAATGACTTCTTGTCACAGTGGTTCAATGTTACTAAATATTTTAAGAGAAAAATCTGATATTTGAATTAAGTGAGCTAGATTCTCTCATTTGCAGTACCTCAATGTACCCAGACAATGCTACCAAGTCTTTTGCTCAGACCCATTTCTTTTTCTTATTTCACCTTATCATTTTGTAGAAACATTGCTTGCTGCACTTATAGAAGACTTTTGTAAGATTGGATTAAAGTGGTACTTTCCTTTCTCTCCCTCTTCATAAACAACTTTTCAATCACATGATTAGAAATCTGAGAATTCTCATAGCCCTTTTGCCTTAGCTGGGATCACCAGTCACCACCATCAGTAGGCTCAACCCCACTCTGAGGAATAACAGCACATACATGCTGGTCCTTATGTGTCCAATAAGAAGGGAACAGAAAAATCACATGCTGAAAACTAGGACAAAGACTGAGGTCATACAGTCTTTCTCCCAGGACCATTAGTGTGCTGTTGTAGAGACCTGCCAGCATGTGCTCCTGCCAGCGAACACCTCCTTCACACAAATAAATGTCTCTTCCATTCCATACGTATGTGCCTCAGTACTTGCTGGTTCTCCTATCTCGTCTCTGTGCTATATTCCTTCATGCTATAGTCTGACTCTATAGATCTAGTGGTTAGGAGTTACTGAGAACTGGAAATATATTCAGGCAACTGAGAAACTGTGATGTATAAATGTCAAATATACACTGAATTTTGGAGAATTATATACTCCCACCAAAAAAGGAGTCCTGGTGTGGCACTGTAGGATAAGTACTGGATTGTTAACAGAAAGGTTGGCAGTTCTAACCCAGCCTCTCATCAGAAACCCTATACAGGGTCACTATGAATTGCAACGGACTTAACAGCACTTATCAATAACAACTCCAAAAAAGAAATGTAAAAGAAGCCCAAAATGGAAAAATCAGATTACTTGGTAAAATGACAATATTCTGAATGAGTTAAATAAAATAAACCCATTCTGTCAAGTTGATTGTGACTCATAACTACCACACAGGCCAGAGTAGAACTGCTCCACAGGGATTCCAAGGCTGTAAATCTTCATGGTCAACTGCCCTTTCTTTCTCTGGAGGAGCAGCTGGGGGTTAAATAACTGACCTTCTGGCTCGTCACTAAGCACTCTAACCACTGCACCACAAGAGCTCCTAGATAAAATACATTCTTTTTAAATCGTTTTATTGTGAATTGAGTGAAATTTTATAGACAAAATCATCAGTTTTACATTCAACAAATCAAACACTTTGTTTCACCTGAATAATTGCAATCCCTTCCATGCAACAATAGTTATCCCACTTCCTTCCTGTGTTTTTTGTTTCCATTCAACCTACCTTCTCATCCCTTCTCAACTTTGTCCTTAGGTAACTATTTCCCTTTTGATTTTGAATGATTGATCATTCCATGGCGAACATACATTACTAGTTTGTTGTTCCCCTAGGTACCTATCTACTGCTTGGCTGAAAAATGCACCAGGAGGGTGAGTTCCTTGCCAGACTTGAAGGATGGTCAAGTGTTGTAGTCTCAAGCTCCTCCAGGCTCTTTCTGACTAGTAATCCCAGTCTTTTAAAAAATAATTTTGAGTTTGTTCCACTTTTTCTTTTACTTTAACTGGAGCCTTCTAATGTGATCCCTTTCAGAGAAGTTGGTAGTGGTAGCTGGACACCGTCTAGTGCTTCTTTTCTCAGAGTTATGGAGACTGATATCCATATGTTCCATTAGTCCGCTGGACTAATTGATTCCAAGCATCTTCAATTCGCATCACTCTTCTTTCTTCCAGACAAGATGAGATCAATAGTTGCACCTTACATGGCCCCTCATGAGCTTTTAAAGATCCCAGATGCTGCTCACCAAAGTAAGTGTCTTCATAGACCATGTTATGCCAATTGACCATGGTGTCTCCTGAGACTATGGTCCTGAGCTCCTAAGCCCAACAACCAATTACCTTAAAATGTCTCACAATATCTAAGAGGTTTCCATCATTTGACTACTGTATGCTCCACAATATCCATAGTTGTGTTTGCAGGAAAGGTAAATACCCATGGACAAATATCCTCTTTCAAACTCATATATTTTTGGGTGTACTCCAACTCGTCTTCCTATACACATTCAACCTGTGTCTGTCTCCATGTATGTCCCCACAGAACACTGCTGTTCCAAGTAAGTAAACACTCTTTACCTCTATCCACTATTTGTCTGTCAGTTTGTTGTACGGTGGTGGTTTGCATGTTGCTGTGATTCTGGAAGCTACGTAACAGGTATTTTAAATATCAGCAGGGACACCCATGGTAGACAGGTTGCAGATGAGCTTCCAGAAAAAGACAGACTGGGTAGAAGGGGAGATAGACTACTTAAAAACATTTAGTCACTGAAAACCTTCTGAATAGTAGTGGAACATTGTCAGAGAGCACACAAATATTGAATACTGAAACATAGTGAAGAACAACAAAACATTGTTAGATGTTATACTGGAAAATAAGGCCTTAAGGTTGGAAGAAATTCAAAATAAGACTAGGGAAGAGCTGCCTCATCAAAGTAGAGTTGACCATAATGACATGAATGGGACCTTCAATGGCTGATGGGGCACAAATCAGACTGAGAGAAATAGCTGTAAAAATCCATTGAAAACTGAAACATGGGGTATATGATGTATGAATCTAGGGAAATTGAAAGTTGTCAAAAATGAAATGGAACACATAAAAATTGATATCCTAGGCAGTAGTGACTGAAATGGACTGCTATTAGTCACTTTGAATATGACAACCAGATGGCTTACTATACCAGGAATGACAAATTGATGAGGAATGACATCACATTAATCATCAAAAAGAACAATTCAAGACCTATCTTGAAGTACAATGCAGTCTGTGATAGGATAATATTCATATGCCTACAAGGAAGAGCTGCTAATACAACTATTATTCAAATTTACACACCAACAACAGAAGTCAGTGATGGTGAACCTGAATTCTATCAACTTCTTCAGCCTGAAACTGATCAAATATGCAATCAAGATATATTGATAATTACTGGTGATTGGAATTCAAAGGTTGGAAACAAAGAGGAAGTATCAGTTGTTGGAAAATATGGCTGTTGTGATAGGAATGATGTTGTAGATTGCATGACAGAATTTTGCTAGACCAATGACTTGACTTTTTCATTGAAAATACCTTTTTTAAACAACATAAAAGAAGACTAAACACATCAAGAGGCAGTTATTCGAACAGAACATTGGAACACTGAATGGTTTAAAATTAAGAAAGGTGTGCGACAGTGTTGTATTCTTTCACCATACTTAATCAACCTGTATGCTGAGCAAATAATACGAGAAGTTGGGTTATATGAAGAAAAACATAGCATCAGGATTGAAGAAAGACTTATTAACAACCTGTGATATGCAGATGATACAACCTTGCTTGCTGAAAGTGAAGAGGACTTAAAATATTTACTGATGAAGATCAAAGAGCACAGCCTTCAGTATGGATTACATCTCAGTGTAAAGAAAACAAAAATCCTCACTACTGGACCAATAAACAACATTCTTAACAACAGAGAAAAGATTGAAGTTGTCAAAGACTTCATTTTTCTTGGATCAACTATCTACACTCATGGAAGCAGCAGTCAAGAAATCAAATGATGTATTGCATTAGGCAAATATGCTACACAAGACCTTTTGAAAGTGTTGAAGAACAAAGATGTCAGCTAGAAGAGTTTTTAACCAACTCATATGCATGCTAAAGCTGGACAGTGAATAAGGAAGACTGTAGAAGAATTGATGCTTTTGAGTTATGGTGTTGGAGGAAAATATTGAAAGTGCCATGGGCTGCCAAAAGAACCAACAAATCTGTGTTGTTAGAAGTGCAGCCAGAGTGCTTCTTGGAGGCCAGGATGGCCAAACTTCATGTCTCATACTTTGGACATATTGTCAGGAGGTACCAGTCCCTGGAGAAGGATATCATGTTTGATAAGGTGGAGGGTCAGAGTAAAAAAGGAAGACCCCCAGTGAGGTGGATTGGCAAAGTGGCAGCATCAATGGGCTCAAGCGTGAGGTTAATGAGGTTGGTCCAGGATCGGGCAGTGTTTTGTTCTGTTGTGCATAAGGTCGCTATGAGTTGGTACCAACTCAATGGCAGCTAACAACAACAACAACCAAGTAGAGGGATTGCTGGGTCATAGGGTACTTCTATTTCCAACTTTCTGACGAAGTGCCATATGGTTTCCCACAGTGGTTGAATCATCTTATAGCCCTACTAACAATGTGGACACCTGGTTTTGCACTTAAGGGACAGCACTGGACTGTGAACCACAGTTCAAACTCAACGGCCACTCCTCGGGAACCCTGTACAGGGTTTCTATGAGTCAGCACCTACTCATGTAGATCTGGAGCAGAGCCCACCTGAATCCAGGTGCCAAGGTGGTCAAGTGAGCAGATGTCTCATAGTAGCTCAAATCTCATGGCTCAGAAGTCCTGGAGAACAGGATCTGCACTGGGGATAGATGAAGGTAGGGATTGGCCTCACCTCTGTATCCAAGGGACTGGGGGTAGCAAGAAGGAATCCCACCTTTTTCATTGCCTGTGGGAATCTGTGCCATTTGGTGGCCATCTATCTGTATCTCCAAAACTGCTAGAAAAGTTCAAGATGGCTATGTCATGTCTGGCCAGCAGTCTGTTCACCAATCAGTCTCCTTCTGCTGACTGCTTAACTTCTCCTTTAGATACTGAATGCACTTCTCTAACCTTTCCTCAGAATCCCAGGGTTCCAGGATTGTCCTCTGGTTCCGTTTCTTTTGGTCAGATCTTTGTTGTAGAGGGTCTGTATAGTGTGTCTGCCCAGTCTGTCATCTTGCTGGAAGTCTCTTGTTTGATTGTGTAACTGTGCTTAAATGAGTGTTGATTGTGAATCCAAGTAAATTGAAGTGTTTGACAACTTCAATCTTTTCTCCATTTATCATGATGTTATTTATATGTCCTTTTGTGAGGATTTTTGTTTGCTTACATTGATGTGCAATCCACACAGAAGACTGTATTCTTCGATCTTCATCAGTAAATATGTCAAGTCCTCTTCATTTTCAGAAAGCAAGGTTATATCATTTGCATATCATGGGTTGTTAATGAGTCTTTCCCGAGTCCTGATGTCACATTCTTCTTCATGTAATACAGTTTCTCAGATTATTTGCTAAGTATAAACTAGGAATGTTGTTGTTGTCAGGTGCCATCAAGTCAGAACCGACTCATAGCGACCCCATGCACAGCAGAACGAAACAATGTCCGATCCCGGGATAACCTCTGGCCATTAATGTTGCCCCCTGGCCAATCCATCTCGTTAGAGGTCTTCCTCTTTTTCTCTGACCCTCCACCTTTCCCAGCAATGATGCCCCCTGGCCAATCCATCTCGTTAGAGGTCTTCCTCTTTTTCTCTGACCCTCCACCTTTCCCAGCATGACATCCTTCTCCAGCGACTGTTTCCTCCGGACAATATGTCCAAAGTATGAGAGACGAAGCTTAGCCATCCTGGCCTCCAAGGAGCACTCTGGCTGCACTTCTTCCAAAACAGATCTATTGATTCTCTTGGCAGTCCATGGCACTTTCAGTATTCTCCTCCAACACCACAACTCAAAGGCATCAATTCTTCTACGATCTTCCTTATTCACTTCCTTATTCACTAGGAATAGGAGTGGCTATTTTTCTTGAGGTTTCAGGCAATTCTACCCCTCTCACACTTTGGAGAATTATTCCTATACTTTACAGGATCAAATAAATATTCACTTGGTTGCAAGATGTGGTATTCTGCTTCAGTAAATGTTGTTAAATATCATTGAGCCAGTAAATATTATAGCTTTGGAAACACTATGGGGCAGTCTACGATGTTATCTAGGGTCACTATGAGTCAGAATCTACTAGATGGCAAAGGAAAATGGGTTTCTGAGTGATAGGTACTCACAGAAAATGCCCTCTATGGAGACTAGGAACTTTTGAATGACTGAAGACTCCCACCTTCAGGCCAAGCACTGCAAGGCAGCTGGATGGTGTTTGAGCTCTGCATTTGATGGGGAATGAGAATGTATGAAACCTCCCAAGGGTCTGTCTAGTCCTGTAATTTATCTCACTGTGATGAAAAATACTCAAAAGTATGGCTTATACTAAAGGATGTGCCCTTAGATCAACAGATCCTTAAAAACCTACCTCTATTTGTAATTTGATTATTTCATTTTGTTTTTCGTTTTCTTGAGTCCTTAACTTTGCATTTAACTCAGATATTTCCATCTTCTTTTCCTCTATCAGTTCTTTGTGCTTTTCTTCATCTAATTCAACTGAATAAGATATAAATAAATAAAATTAATTCATTTTAATATTTAAAAAAATCATAAAAGCTCACATTTCTTTAGTATTTTAAAAAAGTCACATGAAAGTAAAACTTATTAATGAAAACACATATTTTAGAAAATGTTTATGTACAAGGTAGCTTAATACACTTTTGATAAGACTCTGCTAATGTTTGAAACAAATCTTTCAAGAAAGCGAGGCAGCACAAGAGGCACTCACTCATCTCTGCCAAGAAATTTGGAAG